ATACCTAGTTACACTACATCTTGTTGTTTTACTGTGCCTCACTGGTGTTCTCTGAATACACTGCATTTTCTGGGTAAATTATTTCCCTGTAGGTAATGGTGTGCCAATTCAAGAGAATAGATTTTTCACATGCTGCTGTTAAGCTATGCACTGGACACAGTTGTATATATTCTTGTTACACTACACAAATCTTGAGCTTCTTAAAAGAAATTTGTGTATATCACAGTTGCTCCAAAGTTGACTTGAATTGCTCTTGAACAGTGGAATATTATATTTGCTAAAGAGAAAATATTCCCCTCTGCCCTATAAAGAAACTGCTGCATACAAGTTATTTAATATTGTTTGTGAGTACATAATGATTGATTACTACTGAATGGGTTGTAAATGCTATCTTTTCTATATAAATTTTATTTTAAGAGTTAAACTATAAATTTTAAAGGAATATTCAGCTATTACTGTTTATTGGCTTCTTGATTATAACAAGAAGTTTTACAGAGTGCAATAAAGGAAGAACTACTGGATTTTTGATTTTTTTTTTTTTTTGTTTGCTTCGGTTTTTTTCGATGAAAGTAAAAGAATTAAGAAGGTTGTTCTTTGGCCATACAGTTTGTAATGGCTACCACAAGGTGCAGAGTTATGTAGGTGGTAATTAGGTAAGCTGATGATTAAAGATTCAGTAAAGATTCAGAACTAAGATGACATGAAGAAATGTCTTCAACCTGTTATACTCCTTTACTGTTGTTTAAAGGTGCAATTGTTGTAACTTTTCTCGTGGTGGTTTTTTTTTGTTTGTTTGTTTGTTTTTAAATTCACTTGCACTTCTTGTCGTGGTGGATTTAGTTACTGCCTGTCTTTGGCGCAAAATGTTACTGCTCAACACATGAAATTCAAGCTTATAAAGACACAACCTTACGTATTTTACGTGTTCAGGCTTCAAGGTACAAATGAATAAAGGGTATGTTTTCAACTAAGAGGCTGTAAGAAGCAGGATTTGCATTCAGTTTCTGTAGACACATAATAGTGTTATGCGTTGCATATTAATACATTCATGCTTTGTTACAATGTTCTCTGAAACTGCACAACTATTTCTCTGATTCAAAAAAATAGCTTATTTGTGAAGACTGGCCACTGGAAGCTGGAAGGTTGTTTTTACACCCTGCATTGTTGTTTGTTGGTGTTTGTTCTCTCTGCGTTTCCACTCACATCTGTATAAAATGGAGATACAATCAAAAGAAGCCGAGTCTAAAGGAGTAGACATAAAGTCACAAAAAAGAAGTAGCTGTTTGATTTCCTGTTTGCTAGACTAAAATCCTAAAAATCCTGTGGCAAAAGGAAAACCTAATGTGTGTGGAGATGGGAGGATTCCATCAGTTTTACTGATGGGCAGATACAAGGTTGATTTTAAAGAGATGTTAGTGAATTATCTGCTTAAAGTCCAAGGATTCTTGCATGCGAGGTCTACTGTGCAGTTGCGTGATAGGTAAGAAAGAAGGGATTGGTTGGCATTTACGTTTGCAGAGTTAACATTTACCAAATTGTATCCGATGTTCTGCATCACTTGTTTTTGTCACGTGGGATAGGAAGTACTGCCAGCCGTAGTTACCGCTGTAGGGAAATCCTGTAAACTTTCTTCTTTTGATGGTTCTTTCATCTTTCTTGGTCTAGTAAAGGTCTGAATTTCTATATAAATCCAATATATTCCAATATAACTGGTGTCTTTTTTTGTAAAATGGTAATGGCTCATCTCTTTTGAATGGCTGATTGCTGACTCAGTCCCTGTTTTTGGCCATAGTGTCACCCAAGTACCAAGATAAGTCAGCTATTTTCAGTCTTTGTGCACACAAACAAATGCCAGGTACAGTTGAAACATGAGTACTGTACGGGGTAAGGCTTCTCCCTTTCTAGCTTGAAGATGGCTGTGAACAGAATGATAATGAGCTATTCTTAGCTAATTGTGTTATAATGAAGCAGAATGCTTTCCAACTACGACAGTGGACCTGCAGATCCTTCCAGACTTGCTCATCTAGTGTGAGGGATTTTTGTCTTGAGGGGAGAAAACAACCCTCTGTCATGAGGCACAGCAAGTTAGCGAGTGGGAAAGGATCCAGAGATGTTAGAAATTCTGCCCTAATTTATCCAGGCCTTTGTGCTGTCACTGTGATAGGCACAAACTGAAAAAAAAAGTTTCCAAAAATGGCTTGACACGTGTGGATATTCTGTGAACTCTGTTCCAGAAGCCGATATAAATGTAATGGAAGGTGAGATCATGTCATTTACGAAGAGGCTTTTACAAATCATCACCATTTCCTAGGTAAGTATTGCCCTGAGAGTTTTTTCTGGTTGCAGTTCATGATTTTAATGCTTCGCTTCACTTGGTCTTGGGGGATTTACACACTTCTTCCTGGATTTGGATGGTGTTTGCCTCAGGCTTTGAAGGAATTCCAAAGGGTCTCCTGGTGTAAGGTAATTCAGGTTTGACTGCGTGGTTGCTGGGAGATGTGCAGACGTTCCTCATCGCTGGAAGGATCAGTAGTGTGCAGTGAATCCTTGGTCTGTCTGAAACCTGGAAGAACTCTTCAGTAGTGTTTGCTGTCTGGACATCAGGCTTTATGCAGAAACCAAAAGGAAGTTCGCTGTTAATTATATTTAATTTTGCACTGGGAATTGGAAAAATAAAAATTAAAAGCAAATTTAGGAAACGTACTTAGGAACTTCACCTGGTGAAAAGATTTCCAAATAGCTGCTTTGTGAAAATTATTATTAAACCTATAAATTCAGCAGCTGTAAAGCAATAACATGACTCGATCGATGAAAATTTGAAGTAGGGCTCTTTGTTAGTTCATTCACTTCGTAATTAAGTAATGACAAGTAAAGCAAGGTAATTTTTTTTTTTTTTAAATGGGAAATGAACAAATTCAGCCATTAATTTTATTAGTAAGTGTCAGTGGCTTCTGTGGAATCTAACCAATAGTGAGTAAAAGTGTAAACAATTGCTGCCAGCACTTCAGAGTGTAACTTGCACAGATCAGCTGGGGTTTTCCTATGAATTTTGTTTCTCTGAATATGGCTGTGCTGACCTTAGTTTTACATGTAAAGCTATATATGGAATGCTGTGTGTATGCATGAATGGGAATATTATTTCTTACCATGGAGGATTAAACATCTTGGTCCAATCCAGCCTTCTTCAGAGCCAAGGAGCGATGCTGAGCTTGCAGAGCTTTATAGCATTTCTCTACTTTAAATTTCTCTACTCCTAAATTCTAGTATCTCATCTGATGTCATTTCTGATGTATTTAAGAATTGCGTTTCCTTCTGGTTTACACTGATAGAGTCAAGAGTCAGGGTGCAGTTCTGTAATGTTGGATACTGCTGGTAAATGGTTGATTTATGGCATTCTAAAAGCCTTTTCCTGAGGGTTTTAGAAGAAAATAGCAATTCATGGCAACATGAATCAATGTTCCAAAATACCAGCTACTAGAAGTAATGGTTAAACATTCCTATATTAAAGCTGTTAACAAATTTATGTGATAAAATTATTCTGCTTCCTTATGTGGAAAAGAATCTCCCAGTCACAGGCACATCAACAAGAATTAAAACAATTTTTCTTCCTTAAAATGTCATATTTTCAAATCCCGCTTCCATTTCACCTGCAAGCGTTGGGAGCAGTCATGTCACAGTCTTGCTTTTTAAAGCATCTGGGAAAGGATTGAACACTGGGAACTTCACGCAACTCAGACTTCAAAACCCAAAACTGTTCCTGTTTGTAAATCTCCAGGGACTTTGGTATTCTTGCAGGGATGCCCTGAGATACTTTAAACCCCACAAATAGGGCAGCGTGAATTGGGACAGACCCTATTGCTGGTGGCTGTTTGGCCACTGCTCCTGGCCAGCCTGTGCACATAGCGCTTAGGTGGAACTGTAATGCCATCAGAAGTCAAATACATTTTTGCATTAATCACAAAAATGATCCTTAAAGCACTTTCGCATTGTTGGGGACAAGAACTTTGCTGTACAAGTGCTGTTTTTCATTCCTTTCCCTTTTCTGAAGTACCCTTCCTTACCGAGTGAAGTTGCCAGAGAAGGGAAAATAAAATCCTCCCCTCTTCTCGACTGCCTAAAGAGGCAATCCTACAGTCCTAAAAATAACCAAGGAATCCGAAACAGAAGTCTTGGTGAAATTCAGGCCCTCCCTCGGTGGGAGTTTTGCCATGAATTTCAAATGAGTTCAGGACTTTGATGTGTTGGCCAACTGCCGAAGTTGAGTTGTTCCTGGGCGGTGGTGCCAGCTGCCTCTTGTTCTATTTCCCAGAATAACCACTTCGATAAGGTATTTACCCCTTACAAATATGGAATAGGTGCTGTCACGAGCACTTCACATTAGAGAGGTGCTGTCATTTAAAAACACACAGCAAACACTTCCCTGAAAGTTTTTGTGGGGGTTATTTTTAGTTGTTTAAGATTGATGATGACCCTCTAAGAAAAGGCAAATTTGAAGATGCCATTAGGAAAGAACTGTGGTCTTTGAAGAACTGAATGTTCAGTGATTCTTATTGACCATCTAACTACTAACACGAGAACTGGTAGGTGCATGTGATCAATTCATTTTTAACAAATTTCTAGAAGATCGTTCAGCCTTGGAAGAGGTGGGGTTACGCTTGCTTAAGTCCAAGTAGAGCTGGATGTGTATCCTCTAGCTGAACTTGCCCCACGGTCCTGAGGTCTATTAACAGAACATCACAGGACTCCTTGAGGCTACAGCAGAGCAGATTTCCCTTTTGGAAACCAAGGCTGAATGTCTTGATTAATTTGCTTCGGTAAAACCTATTCAAGCTGAAATTTGTGGATACTTAACATGCTTTGCAAGAAGATCAGGGCTTTAGCATAGACTTTGCTGTTTAGGTTTATTCTTTTCCAAAATTATTCTTTTTACAGTAGTTTGCTCTCTAAATGATGGAGAGTTGCTTCTGCCCTATTCTCTTCCATCTGCTCCCCTCCAAATTACTGTTTTGCAGCCAAAATTGTGAGGCACTATGTGCGATGACGATGAAACCACTGCCCTTGTATGTGACAACGGTTCTGGGCTTTGCAAAGCTGGGTTTGCAGGAGATGATGCTCCAAGAGCTGTATTTCCATCCATCGTCGGACGTCCTCGACATCAGGTCAGCTGGTACCAAAATGGAAGCGTTGTCTGGTTTGGGTGGTTGTTTTGGGTTGGGTTTTTTTTCTTGTTTTTTGTTTTTTGAGACTTTAGACATGGCAGTGATAAAGCATCGGATTTATTCAGGCAAAACTCCCATCGGCCTTTGTAGTTTAGCTTGTTAAGAGCTGAAGGTTGGAGCTGCACGTCTTTAATACTATAAGGTAAACTTACTGATCCTTTGGAAAAGGTGTTTTTCAGCCATAAAATGTTGACTATAAAACAACATGAGTGTTTTAATGGTATGAAGGCGTCTTAATGGAAAAAAACACAACCAACTTGCTGAATTAATTAATACTTCCTGTATTAATACAAAGAAAAAAGCTAGGCAGAACATTTGGTGCATGAGAAACCAAATGAATAATAGTGATAAGTTCTTACTGTTCCGTTAAGCAATAGTATGGCCCAATAAACTTCCAAAAAAGGTCTCTAGCACATCACTTTATCAACTTAAACAGGACTGGAAAGGATGAATGTGGCTTTTCTTGACCTTGGAAAGGGTCTTTCTGCTGAATTAGTTTTCTAACAGTTCGTTTATAAGTACAAGATGCAGATTTTTGTTCATTTTATTCATAGCTGAGTCAGATTTTAGTTTTCTGGGCTGTAAAAACCCTTCCCTGAAGTTCTATGTGGTCTTTTGCTGAGCTAAATAAGCCTGGTTTGACAGGCGTAAAATACTAAGCATTTGAAGGAATGCATTTTGAACACCTCTATGAATTGTTGAATATCAGTTGTTGAAAACATCCATTCTTTAACCTCTCAAATTGTTCACTGTCTTTTGGCTTGTGATTTTGCACAGTTAGGAAGCTCAGCAGCTGTATTATCGAATCCATGGAATTAAAACGTATCCATGAGAAAAATTAAATATTTTTATGCCAGTTGATGAATAATATCGTACCTTGGATGTTGTTACTTTGAGGCAATCACGATAGGTTTCCTAATGCAAACATGATAAACTTAGGAAAACCATTATTTAATAAGTGAGTTTTCTTTTAGAAAATCTGTCTGTTTTATATAAATTAATGGGTTTTTTTTCAAATCTATATATTTCAAAACCATTTCACTTCCAGCAAGGGGGAATAATGTCAGTTTAAAGATGGTAGTGGAACTGCCTAGACACAAAGGGCAGCCGAATATATAAAATCTAGGGACCCCCAAAGAGATTATATCTTTCTCGCCTATAATTCCTCCCCTTTATTGCTTTGTGTAATGACAAAGGACCCGTCCCTTGTGGAGAACCATGAGTTTGCGGATGCCTGCCTTGGCTGGGCTCCTGCGTGGGCATTAGTTGCACTGAGTGTGAGATACCTTCTTTTTTGAAGCTGCCTTGTTCTTCCTGGTGGGTTTGTAGAGGGAGTTAGTGCAGAGCAGGTAGTTACAGATAAATTCACATTTTAGTTCCTTGCATGTTTTGTGGGTACATTCTGGAACGGCAGTAGCGGTATTTCACATGAAGCTTTAACTTAAAAATGAGATTCTGTCTCTAATGGGTGTGATACACTGCACTAATATTAGAGTAATATACTTTGCAGGGTGTTATGGTTGGAATGGGTCAAAAAGACAGCTATGTAGGGGATGAAGCACAAAGTAAAAGAGGGATCCTGACGCTGAAGTATCCCATTGAGCATGGAATCATCACTAACTGGGATGACATGGAAAAGGTGGGTGTTTATTTTTAATGTAATTTTGTCGAGGCATCGTCTTATTCAAGACATACGATTTGCCATTAACCTTCTTGCAAATGAAAGGGAAAATCCTTGAAGAATTTGTAATTGCAGTATAGGTAAAGGGATAGTACAATATGCTAGTACAGGAGTTGATCAGGTCTTGGCTGACTATTCTTTGAAAAAGTAAATGCTTATTACTCATCAGATTTGGCAGTATGTTACAAAAGTATTTTATGTTCTATACATACTCTTTTCAGTCTTGAAGTTCATACCAAGGCAGAACTTTGACAATGATAGAAAGTAGTTAAAGTGAAAAAAAAAAAATACAGGTCGTGATTCATCAGAGGTGAGTTGGAGAAGTATTAAAGACACATTACTGAAGTTGGGAACTAAAACTGAGGTGGAGGGGTGATTCTCCCTCCTGAGTACTTGCCTACATGAACAACATGATGGGTGATGCCCACATCTCATATTGCATATGACATCTCACTGTTAATTAAAGAGGAAAAGACAGATTGGGGCTTCCTGTCCCTATACTAATTCTTTGAGAGTGGGATTTTTTTTTTTTTCCTGAAGCATATTTTTCTGTTGCCAATTCCAGTTAGCTTTTTACATCTGGATGGCAAGAAGGTGTCTTTATTCCCTGTCAAGCCCGACTTTCTTGGCATGCAATCAGTGCGATGACCTCTTTGTGAAATGCCCCCTTAAGGATGTCCCAGACCAGGCACAAGCGACGGGCTGTGCTCATGGGAGAACCTGGACAGGCAAGAGGAGTCCTAAGGGCTCTCTCACTCTGCTAAATATCTCTGATATCCCATATGTCCTGGTGTCTTCAGGAAGCATCCGAGTCTGTTACGGGGGAATATTGTACGTCTTCTTTAAAGACAAGATTGCAATTCAGTCCCTTGTCATCTCCAGGTGGAATGGTATGGGAAGGAAACTCCACAAGCAAATGTTTCTAGTAATGTTTTCCTGTGGAAAAATGCCACTGAAAAGAAGACACGGGGTCGGTGGTGGTCTGTACTCACGTTTGCTGAGATGAAGTGTATACAACTGTAATACATATATCTAAAGTCAATTATTGTGTTATATTCATGAACACAAGTTGATAAACACCGACTGTTCCAGATGAACAGACCAAAATTGATATAGGAGCAATGGGAGTTCCTCAGTTCCTATTTGGAAATAAATTGCCCACCTATTCCTCTAGATGGAAGCATAGTATTTGCATTTCATTATTGCACTGCTTTTTGGGAGGACACCTTGCTTGTTTCTGCAGAGTAGAAAGTCTACCTCATGCATCCCATTATGTTGTTCTTCCTGATAATTTTCCTGCTGTCTGCATTCAGCAAGAAATTATATTTCCTGTAGGAAAAAAAAAAAAAAAATTAGAGGTGACTATTTTATGTTCTTCCCTCAGCGATTGGTCCCTGCATCTGGAAACTGTCCTGTGTATAACACATACTGGTATGTGTTCTTCCTCTGGGAAATGCTGGATGCTAGAGCAGACTATCAAAAATGTAGGTAGGAAAAGGAATTAGAGGAGGTAAAAAAGGTGGCGTGTGTAGTGTAAACTCACGGCTAGATTAATTGGGTTTAGGCTGTAATGTGGGAGAGGCTTCAGGCAGTGCTGTAATTCAAATAACAGTCAGATACTCTATGAGTTCTTGTAGTTTGAACTTTTCTTCTCTTTGTCACTTAACTGGATGAAGGAATTACCTGTGAAAGTGGGACCCTAGCCCAAACTTACTTGCTAACTTTTGTGTTATTGCAAATAAGAAAAAAAAATGTAGGGTTTGTTTTCTTTTTTTATATATAGGGGCTTCCCTGTTGCAATCATATGATTACATGCATATCTCAACTTCCTCTGAAGCTCTGACACACACACACACACTCACACTCTCTTCTGGCTGTGAGAATTCCTGAAATGCAATTCCTAAAGTTTTGATGCTAAGGGAATATCTTTTGTATATATATACATATTTTTCCTCCACAAGATTTTTTTAAACCAGTTGAATGATTTTGATCCGAACGACAAATTTCTTTCCAATGCTTGGAATTAATACTACTAAAAGCATCACAGTGTAGAAGAAACAGAATTACAGGGTATCATGCCAAAAATGGGACAAAGGCATAATAGTGCAGCGCCCAACCATCCACACGTTACAAAAAGAGGGGGGTCACCAAAAAATGAGGATGCTGCAGGACGCGCAGACACTCGTGTGAATCAGGAGGAGAACGTGTAGGCGATGAAATGAAGCATTCTTCTTCTCCTGTGCTTCAATTCACAATATTCAAATGGGGACTGCTCTGTTTTCCGCTGGATAATAATACAGGGCATTGTACATCACTGTTAATTTGTTCACAGCAACTGAGCTGACAACGTATGGGAGGGAAAGCGTTGGGATGGAGCGTTTTCTGGCTCTGGTGACTACATAAATGTTTAATATTAAGTGTTGGAATAATTCTTCCTCGGTAATTTCTCTTTGCTATTGTGCTTGCTGCTTACGTTTAATTCTCACGACCTATAAAATCCAGCACTGAACTATCTTTGTTTCTTGTAGAATTCCATTATTCATTAACATTATGGCTATCATTAGATCAAATCTAATGGGCTGTACAGTGCCTAATCCTGCCTGGTTTTGAGAAAAAACCTGCAAACTGCCCGAGGTTTAGCCACGGTCCTGCTTTATGTGTCCAGGTTTGTCCCTCACTGCTGAAATTGCCAGTACTTTGTAAATTATCTAAGCACTGAGGTTTCCTTCTCTTCCCTTATCTTTCCCATCTGAAATGGCAGTCTTTTTCTTCTTATATCTGATTTATATATTTTTTTAAACTTTTGGATGATTACTTTCTGTTTTATTCAACTTGTCTCTGTATTTGTGTACTAAACCTTCAAATGAAAGATGGCCCAGCATCCCAAGCCCCAGTTCTGGAAACATCTGATTTATTTTTTTTTTTTTTTTTAGGGGACTGAGACAGTATTTAAGGTTTGTTTTTTAGGGCTGATAATTTTCTTAATGAATAATTCCAGCTCTAGACAGCTGTTGATTTTGTAGATGCTTCAAATTTAGAGATCTTTTTTCCACTTAAGTTAATTTTGGAGCATAATAATACTGGTTTCTAGGATGTTAATCAAATACACTTACCCATAAAACTATCCTGATGTTTTGTGCTCAGAAATAAGCTTGTTGGGTCAGGCAAAGCTGAGCTAAAAAGAGGGAAAAAAAGAAATAAGGGTAGGAAAGATTTAAACGAGAAGATAAATATTTTGTCGGGTTACTGAACAATCTGTCTTGGAGCTGAAAAAAAATCTCTTCAGTTCCTCATAGCCATAGTCCTCAGACAATCAAAGCCAGCATCGTTTGATACAGGTAGCACCTTCCAACATGAAAAACATGCTACAATACTTTACAGACTGTGACTAAGACATATAGTTACTCAATAGTAAGTGAGAATTCGATTCAGGATTTCCTGGATGAAATATCTGTGGCATAAAGGGCCTTTCGCTTCTGTGGAAATCATTAGATTTCTAAAGAGCATCTTGGCGATGACTTGCAACTGGATCGGTCTCCAAGCAGCTTGAAGTGGAGAAGTCTTTCCAGGTCTAAGAGTCGAGTTCTTGGCTCAGCTTCTGTATCGGAGCGCTGCGGGTGGGAACTAAGCAGTGCCCCTGTTTAGAGAGGGTGGTCTACTCTCTGCTTACGGAATTCTAACTGCAAGGACTCTGTTGTGTAGGTTATATTCTGGTGTTACGTACAGTAGAAACCCAATGGGTTTGGTTCTAATTTGGAGTTGAATTTGGCAGATTTGCTCTTGCATGCCTTCTGCCTATTTTAACATGTCTGTGTAAAAAGAATAAATCACTTGGACTGTATTTGAAAAGCTTTCTGTGTGGTTCTGTGGACAGAAGAAATGATTTTCAGATCACTTTTCTGAAGCAATTTTCATTTTTAGATTTGGCATCATTCTTTCTACAACGAACTCCGGGTTGCGCCGGAGGAACACCCCGTCCTGCTGACCGAGGCCCCCTTGAATCCGAAGGCCAACCGTGAAAAAATGACTCAGGTAATCATCTGAATGTTGTGCTGAGGATCATTTCTGCACAGAAGCAGCTAAAAATATAAATAGTCCTGGTATTCGACTTTCTTAATCTGGGAGATAATGCCTTAGGGTTAGTGTGGGTTAGCATGCTGGCTAAGCTGTGGTGAGAGAGCAAAAGTTTCTGCTGCTCACAGAGTACCAGTTCTCTGGATGGCCCTAAAATGTTTCATACTTGTGTGTGGCAGTGAGATAGATGGAATTAGCCTCTTAAAAGCTTGAAGTAATTTTCTTTGTTGGCAAGACTGTGTGTGTGCTCAGTTCTGGAAGTGGGAAGCTGGAGGCTAAGGTGGCTTCTGATGCTGAGTTTTGGTGTGTAGATGATGTCAACCCAGGATTCACGTAATTTTTTGGATGTATCAATACACTGATGTATTTAAATCTGAAGTTTGCAAGCACTGTAACAGGGGTCGTGTACCAGCTGGATCACACTTCTGTGTGAGTTTTGGATCGATGATGCCTTTCATGTGCCTACCGCTGGCCACCAAGAGTGCTCGACTTTCAGTGGCCCAACTCCTCAGCTCCTGCCGTACCAGCGCCTGCTTTCTACCCTGAAGACTTTATCAACACTTTTGCATTGGACAAAATGCTAGTTATTGTATCAGAATTGCATTTTGGGGGTAAGATTTGAACAAAGATGTTTGAAGGCTATCATGCAGATGACTTTGTGGAGCTCCCAACTGGACCACCTCTTCAGGGATCAGGGGAAAAGTGTTCAAAAGCTGGAGTCTTTGTGCTGGCTTGGGAAAGTGGGTTGTCCGAAGCATTCAAACTTAAATGATGCTTTGCTAAACATTTTTGCCCATGACATAGCCAGTCTGATTTAGCAAACGCAGATCAGAACCAAAAGTTGACCTCTGCAGTTTGTGTATTGTAGAGCAGCCTTCCAGCCAAAAGTCCATGTTATAAATTTAGCTGGTGATGTAACCAGAAGTAAGTGTGATTTAAATACAGATATAGGTATAAAATCACCTGGGAAAATTAGATGTGGCTCTGCACTTCTTTTTGTGCCCACTTTTGGCATATATTTAATAAGAAGATTATGCATCAATTTAGCAACAGTGTAAATAAACTGATTAAGTAGTGAGCTTGACAGCATGCATTACTGGGAGATAATACAACTGGGAGATAATAAACCATAAGAAAAGCCTAGTTTGTGTAACAACCAGGAGTGTGGTTCATACAGTAGACATGTCTAGGACTGTTTCTCTGTCATTATACTGTAATGATAAATCCTGTTTTCAAGATTGTTTAAAGGCTTATTGTTTATTACTGATTGCATTACATTCATTACACTAATTAACTATGAAATATCAGTAATTTGTGTATTCTTTAATGGAAAGCATACTTTTCATTAAAAGTAGACTTCATTGGCAAAGGTATTAGTTTATGAAATCCCAAGTTTAAGTTTAACCCCCTGATGTCTGGCTCTGACGGGGAGAAATGGCAATGGTTGAGTCACCATCCCTGGAGGTATTTAAAAGATGTGCAGATGTGGCGCTTAGGGACATGGTTTAGTGGTGGACTTGGCAGTGTTAGATTTACGGTTGGACCTGATGATCTTAAGGGTCTTTTCCAACTTAAATGATTCTACGATTCTATGAAACGTGGTCACCACTAGTGATGGGGTAGCACTGCCCAGAGTAGGCGGCATTGATTTAGGAAAGGTTGAAGTGCGTAGGGTTGTCCAGGGTGCGTTAGTTCACTGTGTACCCTTAATGGGTTTTCTTAATGGAGCTCCAGTGGAAGTCCAGTTGGAAACAAATCTTATTCCATCTGCTTGGATAAAATTGCAGTGTATCTGACAGAGGAGATGGAGAGAGCTGGAGCTTGTTAGAGTAGAGGAGGTGGGGGATGAGACAAGAGAATATGGCTAAGGTCACTATAAAAAGAAAAGATAAATTGTTGTGTTTGCTGGGGGGGGATGGAGCAGAATGAGGTGTAATGGGTTTAAACTAGACCCAAGTGAGGTTTTAGCTAGACACTGAGAAAACCTTGATAATAATAGTAAATATAGTGTATCACTAGATTTGTTTGCCAGAAGAATCTTTGGATGCTGCAGCAGAGGAATTTCTGAGACAGAACCAAAGCTGTGTCAGGAGAGGCTGAATATTCTGTGAGATGGGAATAGACAGATTATTCTTTGTGGCTTTTTCCAGCTGTGTCTTCTATAAATCTTTTATACGTTTGTGTATATATGTATAAACCTTAGATAGCTGCATTGTTGCAGTCCTGCCATCAAGGTAAAAAAGTTATCCCAAGGTGTCATCTTCATTTAATATTATCAGTAAAAATCTGACCTAGTCTGAGGTTAATGGTAAGATACCCACTAACTTCGGTGATTTTTTTTGTTTTGTTTTTGTATTAAATGAAATTCTAAAGAAAACATAGCGTGCTGTTCACAGAAGAACCACAGCTCAGGAGGGGACTGAGGAGTAGTAACTGTCAGTATTCATTAAAAAAAAAAAAAATTACTGTCTCTTCAGATACTCTTAAGTGTAGATCCTAAAGGTTTTCAAATTCTTCATTCCAGATTATGTTTGAGACATTCAATGTACCAGCCATGTACGTAGCAATTCAGGCAGTGCTGTCTCTATATGCATCTGGAAGAACGACTGGTGAGTCTTTCTGGGAGTTGTATTTTCCACCTGTCCTTCTCTCATGGATGTATATGCACGTACGCACAGATAGACGGTCATTATGATGCACCAGCTGTGTATTAAGAAGAACTGATAGCCATAGGGAGACTTAATACTTCCCACCATGCTGTGCAACTGCCTCTGTTTTCAACTTCGTGGCAGGTATGGCTATAGATTTATGACTTTCTGCTTCAAAACCTCAAGTGACTACAGCTCAACTATATGAACAGATGAAAGATGATAGAGTTTTATACTGCTCTTAATTGCCCAGCATAGAGAAAAGGCTGTATCTTAACGAGATTGCTCCAAACCCACAGTTCCTTCTTACTTCAGACCTACCTGTATTGTTAAGCTCCATTCCCAGTAGGAAAAGAAAAATTAAAAAATTCAGTAGCTAAATGAAAATATTTCATTTAGATGTTGAATTTCAATCACCTAGTGATGTCTGCTGTTAAGCGATCATTAGAATTAGCATGGTGGTCTCTTCTTATTGCCATTTAGAGTCTGATCAAGCATTGAGACGATAAATTACTTCTTAGCAACCCTTGAGTCTTCATATACTTTGAAAAAATTAAAATACCATCTGTCTTTGTAGTCTGATGCCACAATAAAATTTTGTATAAAAGATCACCAGCTTACAAGAATTATGATAGTCATAAATACTTCGTTTATGTTTAAAATTCAACTATTTGTATGCATGTTTGGTATCAGAAATGCTTTATTCATTTTGAGTGGAAAACATGTACTTCATTTCCTATCCAAGAATATAAGTAACATGGCTGTGCACAGATAAACCACTGTTATATTTTCCCTAATGGAGTGGTTTATTTTAATGGCAGATTCAAATATTTAATTTTATAGACAGATTTTTATTTACAGTTTGTACATTATATCATGCCTGTAAAGTGCTAGGGGTCAGCTGAAATGAAAGCCTTTGCATCCATATAAGATCATTATTGCCAGCATCCATTCAGCAAGAACAATACAATCAAATTGCTGAATGTTACACGTCTTTTTTCCCCAAACGCAGTTGCTGCTTAGTTTGTGCTAACGACTTCGTCTCATGTGAGCAGCTCTTTAGTTACAGAAATGGCAGAAGCAATTGCCATGTGAGCATCTTTTATTTGTTGCTGCACGTTCCACTTGAGAATGTGGAGTATGTGGAGACGCCGTATGAGTGGGAAATAACCAGCTTCTCCTTTTCTCTCACTTTCCAGGAATAGTTTTGGATTCTGGGGACGGTGTCACACACAACGTGCCTATCTATGAGGGCTACGCCTTGCCTCATGCAATCATGAGACTCGATCTGGCAGGCAGAGACCTGACTGACTATCTCATGAAAATTCTTACAGAGAGAGGCTACTCTTTTGTCACCACTGGTAATGAGCTGTGATTTGGATGCGCTTTGCATACGTTTGCTCAATTAGTTGTCGTCTTAGCGTGTACCTGCTGATGATGCATCAAAATCCCTATCGCTAGGTTGGCCTGGGAAAAACAGTTCATGTTAGCTAGTGGGGTTCTCCTGACTTTGGCTTTCAGCATGTATGTTGAGCATCAAGGATGAGGATGCCACCTCACTAAGAAATCCTAAGTCACTGACAAATATAACTGGTTATTGGGTTTGATCGTACCTCTTCCAGACGAAGGAACAAAGTTACTAGCTGGTAATGGATGAACCTCAAGGTTTTGTGACCTACACATGTAAACATGAATCTTTACAGTATTCTGTAGCACAATATATATTTTATTTGCTGATGAGGGGAATCTGGTAATGCAAAGGGAAAGTAATGTTGTTGAGACAACAGAAAGGTCAGAATCCACCGACCCACATGACCATCGTGAACTCAGGGAAATGTGCATGAGAAAGCCTGTGTCCTGGCTGTCATACTGTACGTCAAATAAAAACTTGTTGTCTGTCTGCAGCGGAACGGGAGATTGTGAGAGACATCAAGGAGAAGCTTTGTTATGTGGCTTTGGATTTTGAAAACGAAATGGCAACTGCTGCTTCCTCCTCCTCTCTTGAAAAGAGCTATGAGCTTCCTGATGGACAGGTCATCACCATTGGAAACGAACGGTTCCGATGCCCAGAAACTCTCTTCCAGCCATCCTTCATAGGTGGGACAGGACTTTTCTTCCTAGGGACTTGACAGAGAATGAAAAGAAGGATTTCTTAGAAAGTATAGACAACCTTCAGCTGTAGGAACTGAGGTATTTATTCTCAAATGTCCTCAGAAACAGGCAGCTTCTGCTGACTTAATCAGCTCTTTAGAAGGTATGAACCCTGCTGCTACAGCTGCTGGACAAAAAGACGCCTGTCAGTTTAGAAATACCTGAATCCTAAGATGATTTCAACCTCTTGTAAATGCAGTAGAGTTTCTAAGGTGATGTTTTAAAGTACTGTCAGAAGATCATGCTTTTTATCTTGACTGGCTGATATATAACTGCACAGTGCTGCTTATGTGGGGCTTTTTATCTAGGTGCTGCTTCTGTTTATCATTTTATTATATTAATCTGTAATTTAATCATACAAAATCAAACCCTATGTTATTTTCCAGTAGTTTTATCTGTAGTGTTAAAATTCTCATTCCATCCGGTGGATGACTGGCACTTTATGTGGTAACTCATACTGCCCTCACAGATTTCCTACGTTCCACTTGAATTCCACTCTTGAGGACTGAGCAAAATAGCTGCAGGCAGTTTGGCACGATTCCCATTAAACTAAATGGTGAAGCTAGCTACGTTTGCATATAGAAAGGAAACTATTCCAGCATTAATATAGCTCCAAGTTCTGTATTTGAACATCAGCAGGAGAAATTCTCTTTAGTAGATAGAGGGGTTTGGCTGCTAGAAGTGTGTCAGGGATCAGAGTCGGTGCTCAGCAATGGTCGGTATCAGAAATATAGCAATGGAAATCAGGATTTCCTGGATCACAGATCTGTGTCAAAATGTGCATGTTAGGCTAGTTAAAAAGTCTAGTACTTAAAGTTCAAACTGTATTCCCAGTGCTGTATCTGGTCTGTTCCTTTTCTTTAGCAAAAAATAGTACCATAAGTTAAGTTTACTGTATTGGCATTCAAATTAAACCAACAGCTCAAAAGCAAGATTGCTCACTGACATAACACGGGGCTTCTACTTCTAGCTAACAGCATCATAAAAGATTATAAAAATGGCAAAGTATTGCAGTAATGCCTCATTTAAGATTTTTCCTTAAATAATGTTTGGGGGGGGGGTGTTTTACTTGAGGAAATAAAAAACACGTTATGAAATCATAATGGGGGTCTTTCTTCCTCACAAGTGTATTTTGCTTGTATAATTATTGTGCTGAGATGACAAAGAAGATGGGGAGTATGTCCTGCCTGTCTCCTTCCTCTCCTAAGCATCACATAGCTTTTTTTTTTTTTTTTCCTGGAGTTTTAAGGGAGACAGCTTGGACTAGTGAGCCTTCCTTTCATTTTAACAGTAATAAAAAGAAGGGAACAAAGGGAAATGACATGTTGAAATTTCTTTCCACTCAGGGATGGAATCTGCAGGTATCCATGAAACCACTTACAACAGTATTATGAAATGCGATATCGACATCCGTAAGGATCTCTATGCTAATAACGTCCTCTCTGGAGGAACCACGATGTATCCTGGGATTGGCGATCGTATGCAGAAAGAGATTACAGCTTTGGCTCCAAGTACTATGAAGATTAAGGTACTTTTGAACACCTGCACTTACAAAAGAAGCTCTTGTTGGAAAGTTAGATCTTATAAACGAATAAAAATGTTCATGAGAGAATGCCCAGGTCTTGCATCCCAAGTCCTGATGTTAGGAAAGCCTTGCATTTGAGCCTGCTTAATTAATACTTCTTTTCCTCCTACCAGCCAAAGCAGAATTAAAAGAGGGATTTGAGAGGTACTGGAATAAAAATGGTGCTGAAGCCATGGGAGTTGATGAGGTCATTTTGAGAAAATGTGAAACAACAGTTAAGTAAGAGAGCCCTGTGGGATTTGCGGTGAAATAGGGCTATGAGGGAGAAAAGGGCCACTTGAAAGGTACCACAGAACAGCAAGAGAGGTAGGGATGAACCTAGAGAAGGTGGAGCTGTAAATACTAAAGGGGGCATGAACAACGTGAGAAGATACTGGGAATAATACAGGCATCAAGGCTTCGCTGTCAGTGAAAGTCGTTAGTGAAAAGGGTAGAAGAATAAATCCAAAATCCAAGCAGCGTGCAAAGCCTGCAGCTTGTTAGCTGTTTGAAAGGAGCCTTTCGGCTTGGCCTCAAGACATCTAGTGAAACAGAAAAGCCCTTTTTATCAGGCAGCGGACGGCATGCTGAAGGGGCATGACACGGAGTGGCAGGAATGGAAACAGGAGCATCAGAAGCAGGGGTACATCCAGTGTATTTTAACAATTCAGTGGCTAAGGGGGGAATCGGCAGGTCTTCTAGCTCTATGTCTAGCGCTTAGCTAGATACACAATGCCAGTGTATCTCAATGTTTATTGTTTGGGTTTTTTTATAAAAGATTTCCTTTATCCTTTAAAAAAAAAAATGCTCAGACCATTCTGTGCAGTGTTGTCCCAGTGGTCTTTATTAACCTAATGTGATTGTAAATATTTTAAAATTTGAGTTTTCTTGCATATATGTCTATAATTTTTCGGTAGCTGTGTTACGGGCCATCTGCAGACATCTCATGGGCTGCCATATTTGCTCACAGTAACGTTATAGCATCTCTATTGACTTGAGGTGGAAGACAAGATACGGCAGCTTTTCTACCTCTTGGGTGCTTTACTTCACTGGACTTGTGCTCCTATGGTGGAAAGACTTTCACCTAGTTGTTTCATCCAAAGAGATGGTTGCTGTGTTATCTGCTTGTCACTTTATTTACAACAGATTGCACTTCTCTTCTAGATGATTGCACCACCAGAACGCAAATACTCTGTCTGGATTGGGGGTTCAATACTGGCATCTCTGTCCACTTTTCAGCAAATGTGGATCAGTAAAGACGAATATGAGGAAGCTGGCCCCTCTATTGTACATCGCAAGTGCTTTTGAGTACTTCCATCACATGCTGTCAGTGATAAATAGTGCTGTTTCTCTACACATCACCTGCCCTCATTCACTTCTGAGGGTGGCTTGGCTTTCTTCCACATGTTAAAAAACCACACTGTATGGATGTCATACGAATTAGCAAATTATTTCTGATTTTTGATGCTAAAATGAGACTAACATTTCAGTGATGGGTGTTTTCCAAGATTAATAACAGTAGTTACACCATACATTTTTATAGACCTCCCTCCCCCCTGCATTTGTAAGTGTTGCACTGCTCTCCAGGAGGTGACACGCAACGCTGCTCTGTGTTGGTCTCTGCTAATCGATGGTAAGTCTGAAGTATGCACAGAAGTGCTTCTTTCAAACTCAAACATAATGCAAGATTTAGGTACCAGAGAAGACTTATTTTATGTGGTTAAGTGGTACACAGGATTCTTCTAAGGGGGTTTATTTTGCTGAGGATGCAGCAGATTTGTGTGGGTACTGATGCGCGTATGGGTACCAATTCTTTCAGTAGAGCTGGTATGGATGTCTTCCCTTGTTACTGCAATTGTTTGGCAGGATACCTTTGTCTCCCTGTGACCACCGCTCCCCATCAATAAGGAGCCTCAACAAGCTACAGTACTTCTGAACTTACATGTACCAGGTTAATTTATTGGATGTATTATTGATTTCTTCATCTCCCTTCCTAAGGAGTTAACTGATGTTTCATTTACTTTTGCTATATATGTGCTATGCTAAGCTAAGCTAATGATTACAGAGTAAATAATAACCTTTTGAATATGTTATTGAAATGCTCTGGGTTTAATGGATCAATAAAAGTGTAATTATCCATGTAAGGCTGCTGTGGCTTACATTAATTTCATAGTGACTAGTTTATCTGTTAAAGATAGAATAATAATTACTAATTTATATTTTAATTTTATTATGAAAAAGGTTTCATTCCCTCTGAGTTTTCTAGCTAAGCAACTTTTAAATGAAAATACAATTGTTTCACAGTTTCTATTTAAAAAAAAAACAACCTTCCTGGATGACAGATTTTTCGTAATGTTCTGTATGAAGATTAGAGTCAGCTATGAAGATTTTACTGTTTCAGATACCAGGAAAGTGTGTTCTATATGTTTCTGGATGCCATAGACTTTGAGTTGATGTGATGTCAGCCTTGATGTGCACTTCATGATTTAAATCAAACCTGTCAAGTTCTTGCCAGTAAACACAATACCCCCTTTCCAAAGATGGGGGAAAAATATGAGTTGGATTTACGGACTTCTGAAAATGCATCTAGGCAACGTTTTAAAGAATCTTCTTACTACTGCAAGTTCCAACTCAGGGTGAGCTCATTTCCTTATCCAAATGATCTCTTAATGGTAAAAGCTGAAAGACCTATAAGGGAAGGATTTTTCAAAGGTCTGCTGTAGCTAGCACTGCCAAATAAGTAAAAGAGATTGATCTTACCTTCATTCCCATTTTTGAACAGCAGTCAGTTCAAATTGCCAATATCCATGTCTTTTCAAGCAAATGTAAATCATTGCAAATTTCTCAGCCTCTGAATGAATTTTACTTTATTATCTTGGTCTCAGCTTTATATGATTGCTTGCTGCTTAAGTTGATGATAAATCACCTTACGTATTAGGAATAGTACTGTTAACTGGCCATGTTGCCTGCCTGAGAAACATAACTTACATTTTAATCTTGACCTCTTGTAGGTGTGATGTTCAAGAGTGTAAACCTAGGTACTTGGATCTCTGGAACTGAGTTACATTTGCAGTCCCCGGTAGTATCAAAGCAAAACTCCATTCAGTTTGCTAATAACCTACTTGTCCTTGTTTCAATACTAAAAATGAAGTATCATCTTTAGATTTTTTTTTTTTTCATATATATATCCTTTCAGTATATACTTACAGCTTGTTAATCAGGAAAAAAAAGAAAATGTTTAAAAACGTGGTTTTTTTGTAAGTGGCAAGGGAGGTACACATTTATGGCATTTGCATACAACTGAAAGAGTTCTTTGGGCTTTTTTTCTTCCCTCCCTTCCCCAGGTCTCCTTCTGTCGTTGTCCACAACAAAATTCTCTTCAGTCCTTGGTTGGCATCTCTAGCTCCTGGCACAGCTGGGGCTGAGATGTGAGCTCTCAATGGTTAGAATATGAATCCTCATCCCGCAGCTGACTTCTTTTTCAGCGTGGAAGAGCATGATTATGCTCTGAATACCCCCCTAACAATCTGCATGTGGAATCTTATTCAAAATTAACATGCATTTTGAAAATAGCATTAATTATGTGCTAAGAGCAAATACAGATAAAAATAAGTAAAACTATTAAGCTGTTTGTGTGATTTGGCAAACCTCTGCTTCTCTGAGAGGAAATTGCCTTAGCCACCGTGCGAGTCCTGCTTTTCTATCTGTGGTTGTACAGAGCAGTATAACGGTTGGAACCGAGAGTAGGGAATACCCATAGCCAAGAAAATAGTTCACAGTTCTCTCCAAACACTCACCTGGTGTTCCCAACTACTCCTTGGTTACCGTTTCACTTAAAGATTATCTTTAAACCCATGGAGGTGTTAATGTTTATACTCAATCATACCCGTGCATGCCTTACTTTATAATCTTACGTGGAAAACCACTATGGCTAACGATAAGTATCCTAAATTTGAAGAGCTTCTACGGGTAGTATCTGTGTAATACCACCAGGGCCAACCATTCAGAAGTCATCTCGTTCTGGAGAATGGCTTTGCGTTTCAGTTTTTCTAATTTAGTAGGTTTTACTTGCTTAATATTCACTCAGGTTTTCTTCCCTACAGCCATACAGGCTATAAATATCTTCTTTAAAAAACAAACAGACCAAATTTCTCTCAGCTTTAGAAGTTAGGACTCAGAAGACACCTCCCCACCAAACTAATGTATGTTGAGGTTCATGATAAATCACAGCTTTACCATATCATATCAAGTAGACCCCATGGGCAGAAGTAGTCCAGAAATAGTCCACTTGATAAAGAAGAAAGATCGTCTTCTGCAATGAGACTTTTAGGTAAGAGCTATGTGTACTTTTAATAGATTTTATTGTTTCTGTAAATAACATCAGCTTGTGGATGAGACACTCCAAAGGCAGAATGCTTATCTTCTCAGAAATGTAAGACAGCAAATCAAAGGCTACAAATAAGTCTTTGCATGGCTGTGTGCGATCTGCTTTATTTGGTCCATGACGGTGATTCAATCACATTTTTCGGAAGAGCAGGTAGACTAATACCAAGTGAATTTGCATCACTATTTTACTTGACAGTGAGTGTATCAAGATCATCTAACTAGAAGTTACCTTAAATCATTAAAATATTTGTGTATTCAGAGCAGAAAGTAAAAGCTACTGTTATAAACTGTCAAGGTGAAAGGAAATTCAACAGCTTGCTCCGTAATGGCCAGCAGCATGTTGTATCCTCACTACACACAAACTGATACGATGCAAAGGAAGCACGTTGCATTGGTCAGAGTTGGTGGCTGTCTTGGAAATAGCATCTTGCAATGGAAATGCTAATGGTAATGACTGTTCTATACCAGTTTTTTTAGTTATGAAGAAGTAAACTGTTGTGCATCAAAAGTGTGCCTTTTGCTGCTGGCCAAAGCCGGCCGGTGGGGTGCATAAGGTAAAGGGCAGGGACCTGCTCCTGTTCCCAATTGTGCATTCATGTGCAACGAGAGAAGTGGAAAATACATTTGGCGCATTTGAAGGGTCGTAGTGGACAGTGTTCAATGTTTCTGATTCCATTCCCAGTGCACTTTTCTTGTTAATAGAAATATAAAAGACCACTGAGGTCATCCAGGCTGTCTTCCAGCTCAGGCAAGCTTGTTTGCTCACCGGACACTTGATTGCTAAGGGACACATGTCTGACTGCAATGAACGTCAAGGTGAGGGCAAGGTTTGGGTCCCAATTCATCGACTGGCAATTGCTGTAACTCTTCCTCTGTTTTGCTTGCATCAGTTTTAGGTACAGATCTTGATTTCTGTTGCAAATTTACAGCAAGAGAATTTGGGGAGAGGTGCTGAGTCATTGACTGTAGTAAGTGCGACGGCATGACCGAGTCTTCGTCGCATCGTGGGTGGGGACCAGTTTGCAAAGCGTGTGGTGAAAACCACCCAAATTACGTATCGCTTTTTAACTGGGGATTTCAGAAAAGTGCAGTCCTGAGAGAAAGAAGACAAGAATCGTAATGCAGCAACAGCAAGCAATGAAAATTGCAAGCTTTGACATGAATTAAATTTGCAAAGGCGGAAGCCATGCCCAACAACATGACAAGCTAATATGGAGGAGAATGAGATTAATGGGTTGAAATAATTCTTTCCTGTTTAAGGTTAACCTCAGGCAAGAATGAGTGTGTTGGTGTAATGTCTTGTTGAATTTTAATATGGAAATGTCTCCTGGCATGTATTCCAAACAGCCTACAAATAATGATATTGATCTGACCTTCAATTAATGTGAGACGCCCTCTGCAAAAATCAGATCTCAGTTTGAATGGCAAACACCTTTAATATTCTGAGGAGAGTGGATCATTTACACGTCTCAGTTTGAGACTATAAATCACCAGGATTATGGCTTTTTTTTATTGTCATTTTAATGCAGGCTTGCTTTCCCTGGAGCAAAGGACCAAAAGTGTGGTGTATCATTAAAAAATCACAGCAAAGATGTCAGTAGGTACAGACAACAAACAGTGTATTTGTACAAAAGGGAGTTCTTTGAAATCCATTCCTGGTCTCTCTGTTGCCACATTTTTCAGGTATCTGCTGTCTTTTTGGCAATGGACTAGAATGATCACTCACCATCTTTAGCCTTTACACAATCCGTGGGTATCTTTCCCCTTTCAGTTTGCACAGAGCGTCCTTTCTAATGGCCAGCCTTTGCCTCCCTTTCTCCTCAATGTGGTATTCCATATCTCATCCTACAATAAGGGATTACGAGGCATTTGCACTCCCAGCTCATTGCTACCAAGACTACCTAGCAAGCTGAGCAGTCTTGATGCAGCCATATGGTTTTTAAATTAAAAAAAAAAAAAAAAAGCAATTTGTGTTTTTGTTTGATTGTGATGATGATAAAAATTTAACAAGGAGACCTACACACCTTCCTGTCTTACCTGTTCT